CTCGATCCCGGGACTCCAGGATCATGACCTGAGCTGAAGGCAGTGGCTTAACCAACTGAGCCACCCAGGCACCCCCATATTTGATTTTTTAAACATTGTAATTTAGGGAAGGTCAGTGCTCCTTGTCTGGTAAGCTACTATAGCTACCCTTCTTTATTTTTCCTGGGGCAAAACAAAAGTAGTTTTGTTTAGTAAGTTAAAGTGATTGTGGTTTCCTAGCTAAGAAAAACACTGTATGTATATATAGATATCTAAGTTGTTTATTTTGTTAGAAACCCATTAAAGAAATTCCCATATGTGTGATTATGAGAATATTTAGTCACTCTGGGGCTGTTTAAACTTATTCCTGTAGCTTAGTTTTGATGTCAAGGTCATTATTGCCATTACTTAATACCTTAAAAAGAAATTAAAGGGATTGAATGGATAGGTTCCATGGTAAGGATCTGAAGATTACAATTTTGGCCTGGGGACATAAAAGAAATTTAGAATTGTAGCTGTCTGGTCAATTTACTGCTTCATTGATTGGGTTGCTGAAAGTTGATTAAGTTTCTAGAAGTAAAGTGCTTTTACCAAACGCTAGTAATGGGAATCTATCCCACAGAGCTCTTCTGTGAAATTGTGTTGGTATTAACACGTTCATAATCTACTTTTATGTAAGAGTTAGAAAATAGAGCTTTAAGTTTTTGTCATTCTTATTTGTTTGAAAGTTACAGGCCTAGAAGCAGCTCTGTGGTATGAACCAGTGCCACTCAAATGACAGTCCGTGGTGAGATGGAAAGCTTTCAGCAGAATGTAAATCAGTATATTGCATCCTAGAAAGTTTTGCTACATAAAAAATGCCAGCTGCCCGGAACAGTGTGTTTGGTGAGGTCATTGCTTCACATTCTGCCTCAAGCTCCTTACCTTGTGCTGGATTGCTGTAGTGACCAGCTCCAGCCTGTGTGCCGATCATGCTTGCAGGAGTACTAGCATAAACAATTCATTTTGTAATTGAATACTTTAGGTGTTTTCTGATTACATTGTTGGGCTTGGGTTGGTTTTCATGGCCATTTCTGCTGGTGATAACTCGTAATGCCATGTAGAGCAGGTTGACCTGATGAAATGAGTAAGGAATTTGGAGTCCTGGCTCTACCTCTTTTCTGCTGACTGGCCTTGGACAAATAGTCTAACCTCTCTGAGCCTGTTTCATCGTGTGTGAAATTGGGATATAATGTCTATGTCCCAGGGTTGTTATGAAGAGTGAGTTACTATTTAAGAAAGTTCTTTGAAAACTCAATTGTATCTCAAACGATCTGTTATTTCAGCTCTTTCTTCTATCACCCATACTGACAGTTTCAAACCTTGGCTCCCATTTCTCTGCCCAATGCCATTCCTCACTCAGCATTTAGCCTCTTTTTTTCTCCTTTTTTTCTTTAAGAAATTTCAGTATTGGTGAGTGCACATTATGAACCGGACCTTGGAACAGAAATAAAGTTAAGCAGTCTTATCTTTACATTTAATATTTATGCTTGCCATGTGTAGTAAGTAAAAAGAAAAATGATTCTGTAAGGCTGGTAAGAAAAAACAGTAATCACCTGCCCACCCTCCCGAAGCTGGGATTCTGGCTTCTCTGAAGAGGTCATTTCAATGCCTTTAATTCTTTCTTTTGGTATTTTCCCCATGTTTCTAAGTGGCATTCAATACTGATTTTTCTTAATTTTCAGTTTTAGCTGTTTATCTAATGACTTGCTACTATGAGAGATAAGAGTTTTGCTCTTTTACATACAATTTTCATCCCCTTATCCTGCCAGGATTATAGAACTTAATTTTTGGTTAGATCAATATTTAGTATTTACATCATTAAGATGGTAAATATTATTCACATTGAGTCAGATAGTATAATGATGAACTTCTTATACAATTTTTTGTTTTCCTGGGAATTAATAATTATCTCATTTTCATTTGTTTTTTTTTTTTTAAAGATTTTATTTATTTGAAAGAGAGAGAGAGCATGAGGGGGGGGAGGGTCAGAGGGAGAAGCAGACTTCCTGCTGAGTAGGGAGCCCGAGGCAGGACTCAATCCTGAGACTCCAGGATCAGGACCTGAGCCAAAGGCAGTTGCTTAACCAACGGAGCCACCCAGGCGCCCTCAGATGCTTTTTAAAAATGTACCTACCACTGATTCTTCCCAAACTCTCTGACACAAGTGTAAGTCTTCTCTGTATCTTCAGATATATCAGGTAATCTATCCATTTCTTCTCCTTCTTTTTTTTTTTCTCTTTTGTGGAGCTTGCCATTCTCAAATAAGGATAAACTATTCTCTAGGTTAGCTGGATAGCTGTCATTTTGGCAACTCCCTTCACTATTATTCTGGAGTTTTCTATGCTTTTCTCCTTTTTGTCTCTTTGTATTCTGTCATCTTTATTTCTCCATTTTTGATAGAACATACTTTTGAGATCTTATATGTATAAAATATCATTATTCTCTTTTTACATCTGATTGCAAGTTTGATTGGCTGTAGAATTCTGCTTTCAGAGTAAATTTTACTCAGTATGTTTTTAGTTAAATATGAATCTTTCAGACTTTAACATCTGGTAAGGACGGACTAGTTATTTTGGACCAGCCCACCCACGGAGACCAATTAGGAAAGCTAAATTAAAAAAAAAAAAAAAAACTCTGCTTGAAGTAGAGTGTTAAACAAGCTAGTGAAGAATTTACCAGGCCAGGATCTCTGCTGCCTCGAGATTGAGGGAGGAGCCTGGGGTTTGGGGCAGTTATTAGGTGAAACTAGAGAAGGTAGCTCAGAGGATAGAGACTAAATGGGGTTTTTTATAACTTCAGAGTGCTAAGAGAATAAAAGATTTGGTGTCCCAGGCAGCTCTGAACCCCTCCTCACTTTGGATTGGGACCTCGAAAGGCAGCACCCTATGAGGAAGGATGGGCTGGATATAGAACAGGCCCTCTTGAAATTGCCACTCAGCCACAGACATTGAAATTTCTGAAATCAGCATAAGGTGATCTTAGAGTGCCACTGTCCCTAGGCATCTCCAAAGTGCAAAGGCTTCCAGGAACCTGGAAAAAGCAAGCTTAAATTTTCTCCAAAGGGAGGAAAAAAACACCATTCTGGGGCTTAAATTATTTCTTCAAATAATTTTGCAAATACAATGCTTGATACCCACTCAGAAAGTAACCCCTGACACAGAAGGACAAACAACAAAAATGCAAAAAGGCAGAAGCAACAGAAGATAGAAACAGACCCATGGCAAATCTAGATACTGGCATTACCATGCTCCTACTTTGCAATAGCTATGTTCGCTGTGGTCAAGGGGATAAAAGATAAGATTGAGCACTTTAAGAAAGAGTGGAAAACCATAAAAAAAGTGAAATGAATGGAAATTATAATATTGAAAAGTAAAGTAACTGAAATTAAGGCCTTAAAGATTAAAATATAATTAATGAACTTGAAGATAGGTCAAAAGAAAATGTTTAGAATAAAACATGGACAAATGATGGAAAATACAAAGGAAAGATAAGAGAAAGAAAATGCAGTGATGCAACTTAGAATCCCTGAAGGAGAAAAAAGTGCGAATGGGCAGAAGCAATATTTGAAGATAAATTAACTTAAGATTTTGCCAAAAGTGAAGAAGGCCATGTATTTAAGGAGTCTGAGAATCTCAAGCAAGATAAATAAAAAGAAATATTTACCTAGGTTGAAAGCTAAAAAGAAAGAGGAAGTCTGAAAAACAATCAAGGAAAAAAAAGATTAACAAGAAAAAAAGATTATCTACAAACAGCTCCAAACAGCTGACTGTCTGCTAAAACAGTGAAAGCCAGAAGACAATAGAATGATCCTTACCAAGAAATGACTTTTTCCCCCCTGCCAAACCAAAAATCTATACCCAGAGTAAAGATGAAATAAAGACATTTTCAGATCAATAAAAATTCAGAGAATTTGTCATTGGCAGACCCACACCAAGGAAATACTACATATTCTTCAGGCAGAAGGAAAATGATCTCAGATGGAAGGTCAAGAGATAAAGGAAGAAATGAAAGGCAACAGTAAAGACTTGGGTAAATCTAAGTGAATATTGACTGTATATAACAACAGTAGGCCTTTTCAGTTTAACAAATGTAGAATTATAATGGCATTTAAGTCTGGCTGGGGGATAAATGGAATTAAAGTATTTCTGAAGTCCTTGGGTTGCCTGGGAATGGGTAAAATGACTAATTAACAATACATTTGTTAAGTTGCAAACCCATGTTTTAATCTCGAGAGAACTGTTAAAAGTATATATTGATATATTATTGGAGTATATATTTTACAATCCAGGAGAAAAATGAAATGATAAGAAGTTATCATTTCCAAAGAAGGCAAGAAAGTGAGAAAAATGGATCATATAGCTTATTAAGTACACATTGCACTTAATAAGATGAGAGATTTAAATCCAGATGGAGGTTCTCCTGCTATCTGAAAGGTCGCCTTACACCACTTTGCTTTTATGAAAGACTTATCAGTACTTGTTTTCGCTAGCTGAAAGAAATCTGAAGAAGATTTTTACTTTTATGAAATGATCATTGCTTCTTTGCTGTAGCCATTTTGACTTGCAAAAGGTTTCATAGGAACACTCTACTTTCAGATAATGGGGGGTACCTTGTAGGTCTATTAAATGTAATTGCATACAATAGCCTAATTAAAAGATGAAAATTGTCCAATTGGGTAAAAATAATTAAACTCAATTATTTGGTGTTTATAAAGATACAGCAAAATTGAATTGTTCTTATAAGAATTTTGTTTGTTTTTTTTTAGAAGTCTTTTTTCTTTTTTTAAAAGATTTTATTTATGTATTTGACAGAGACACAGCGAGAGAGGGAACATAAGCAGGGGGAGTGGGAGAGGGAGAAGCAGGCTTCCTGCTGAGCAAGGAGCCCGATGCGGGGCTAGATCCCAGGACCCTGGGATGACCTGAGCCGAAGGCAGATGCTTAACGACTGAGCCACCCAGGCGCCACTTCTGTTTTTTGTTTGTTTTTTTTTTTAATTGAGGTAAACCATATTAGTTTCAGGTGTACAATGTAATGATTCAGCTTTTGTATTTATTGTGAAGTGATCACCACAGTAAGTCTAGTTACCATCTGTCACCATATGTACTTAACAAAACTTTTGTGTGTGTGATGAGAACTTTTATTGCCCCAAAGATTTAGATGCCTCTATTTTCTCCTTTATTGATATTACTTATTAGAATATGAGTGCTAAGGTATTTGGTGATTGATAGTTTTTAATTTATTTTAAATTAATACATACAATATTATATTAGTTTCAGGTATACAACGTAGTGATTTGTTATTTATATACATTACGAAATGCTCACCATAAGTATAGTTACCATCTGTCACCATACAAAGTTATTATAGTATTATTGACTATATTCTCTATGTTGTACTTTTTATCCTTGAGAGTTACTTATTTTATAATTGAAAGTTTGTAGCTCTTAATTCCCTTCATCTATTTTGCCCATCCCCCTGCCTTCCTCACTTCTGGCAACTACCAGTTCTCTGTATTTATGAATCTGTTTTTGTTTTGTTTTGTTTGTTTGTTTTGTTTTTTAGATTCCACATATAGGTGAATGATGAGAAGTTTTAAGATCTGTTTCTCATTTGTTTTGTTTTTGAAATTGCCATTCTGTATTGTGATTATTACCTAGTGTTCCCCATTCTCCCTCTCCCTCCTCACTTATTAATAGATGAAATTCTAACCAGTTATGGAGAGACGTAGAGAAAGACTAATGGATGTTGATGGAGGTGAGGGCTGGTCATGAACCAGCTGTGGCTGGTATCAAACCATTGAAAAATGGGTTAGGATAATGTCCTTACTCTGGTTGGTGGAACTGATTTCTCTGAAGTGAGGTAAATGGTTAAGCAGTTTCAAGTCTCGTGTGGTCTTTCCATCTGACATTACTATTCTGTACTTTAATTTATATAATTTTTTTCTTGAAGCTTCACTGATTTTTTGTTCAGTATCTTAGTTTCCAAGGTTGTTATAATGTTGTATATCTTAATTTTTTTATGAGTTTTTTTTAATAAAAAATGTTGGGGAGAATAAATCCAACAGAGCAAGTTTTCATCTAAACCTAGAAATTTTAGAAAGGTTATTAAATAATTAGATGTTTGACTTCCTAAGAAGTGGGGTATTACAATATATAGTTGAGAACTTGTTTTTATGGAAAAGCACGAAGATTATTTCCTATTTTTATGTTTCAGGGATATTGTTTCAATGCCAATAATGAAAAATACTACCACCTTTTTGCTTCTAGGTTGTAATGTTGCATCAACAGGTAGACGAACATGAAAAAGTCAAACAAGAGATGGCCATGGACTATAAGCAGGAGTTAAAGAAACTACATGAAGAAGTGAGATTTTAATTCTATTATGTGTTGTATAATTCTGTCTCTTTAACCATTAGAATTTTGTTAATGTGCCCATTTCTGCTTGATAAAGTGGGAAGTATATAATCCATGGGAGACACAGGAGTAGAAATCTATTTCTCTGTTCTTTAAATTCAGGCAAAAGAGACTTGTCGAATTATACGTTTGGTACTATCCAAACAGGGATTCTAAAATGTGTTTCTCAGTTGAGTACCTGAAAGAAATAAGCTGTTTTTGTATAATACTATGAAATATTGATACCAGGAACCTATATTAAATATCTTAATTTTGAGTTAAATCAGTTACTAGATTTTAAATAATGGAGAATCCAATATATTCAGAAGCATTTTGGGATATATAAGAAAAGTAAGAATTCTAGCAACTCAATATTATTCTTCAGATTGGGAAAAAAAACTGCTTTTTTTTTTTTTACTTTATTCCAAAAAACTCCTCTCCTGCTTATTGAATATCAGTGTTCCACAGGAGAATGGCTCAAGAACCACAGAGGAAACGAGTTTTTATTTGCTGCTTTTATCATGGGTTAGTTTATGGGATCCTTAAGTGCAAGGCCACTGTAATAATAAAGTTTTGTTTAAAGAGTATCTTTCCCTCAATTTTTTTCTTCAATGCAGTATCTTTCTCTTCTAGTGTTTATTTTTTATATGCAGGTTTGAATTGTTTTAATTTGCAAATCTAACATGCTCAGTCTATTTTCGATAGTACTGTTTAGCACTGCTCTTGCTTTCATGATACCAATTTGTTCCACCACCACTGTTTACAAATTCTTAAATTTTAAGTCTAGAAATAACTGTGTCTACAGTTAGGCAGACTGAAGAGAAGCTATGAAAAACTACAGAAAAAGCATATAAGGGACTTCAGAGGAAATGCCAAAAATCACAGGGAAGATCGGTCTGAAATTGAGAGGTTAACTGGAAAAATAGAGGTATGTTCATAGTAATAATTTCTTCATAGTGGTTGTCAACCTCACTGTAGGAAGGTGCTGTTTCTAATAGTACTAGTTCTGAAACCAATTTTCTGCCATCTCCAGGACTGCCCTGGAGCTATTTCAGAGGTACATCCTGTCATCACCTGGTCTCCGGGGGTTGATGGGGTTACTCGTTCTCAGTAGTTCTCAGTAGGGCAGTACCACCCTTTGAGGGCATCTGGAAATATATGGAGACATTGCTTTGGTTGTTCAAATGACTGGGAGTGAAACTGGTGTTGAGGGGATAGGAACTAGGGACACTAAACATGCCCAGGACCATTCCACACAGGAAGAATTATTGTACCCAGAATGCCAATATTGAGAAATATTGACCACCAGTTCCTAGCAGTCCTCCATGGGAGTGTCCTTGTCTTATTTATCACCTAACAGAATTGGGGCTTAGTAAATGTTGAAAGTACATGGCTTTTTGTACAGAGTACTGTGCATATCAGGTTGTTTATCCCCAGTTCCCATTTAGATGTAGTAAGCCATTTACCCCCCTCTTTGCTGACTTTGTTTTTATTAAGGCTGAATAACTCTGTGGTTATTGTGTATGTTGATTCCCACATGACTTACCAGAGGCGGCGAGTTAACACTGCCCAAGGTGGATGAAGCAACAGTGCAGGGCTGTCACTCTTTTCCCTTGCATCTGCCCCTCCCCTCCTCTGTCTATGCCATTGGTTCTCCAGTGTACCTAAGACTCCCTGAGGTCTTGTTTAGGCTGTCAGAGATTCTGCTCCAGTAGTATGACATGGGACCTAGGAATATGCATTTTATCCACCTCCCCTGGCTGATTGCAATTTGAGAAACATCGTTCAACATCTCTCTATGATTGCTTACAATTTGTCAGGGCGACCTTTCACCCACAAAAATGCCATTATTACAACTTAGCATTGTAATTTCTGTATTTAATGTTCTTTTACATCTTATTGTTTTGATCCATCTGAAGAGCTTAGACTCCGAGGGCTATGCTACCGCTTTCTCTCCAGCCATCTTCTGTGACATCTGCGCTTTTTTCTCCCAAACCCCTCATCTTCCTCTTGCCGCTCATTATCATTCTCTTTTATTTCTACCTCAGAACCTCATCTTTGATTTTCATGTCATCAGCCTGTACCCCCCAACCAGTATACATACAACCAAAGTAGCCATCTTCTGATCCCCGAGTTACTTCCTGGCCCAGAGGTTTCAGCTCCCAGGGCATTGTCACTCTCTCCAGTGTTACACTTGTCATAATTCGTGAGGATTTCAGTATCCACAGGGATGATGCTTATAATACCCTGCTCTTTGAATTCCTAGGTGTCCTCCACGGACATCTTGATCTCCTCCTTGTTTCATCTACCCATTCCCACTGCCATTCCTTGGGTGTCATCATTACCAAAGTTACAACCTTCCTGGAATCACATTTTTAATCATCTCATTCTGTAACTACCATCCTTCTCTTTTCAGCTCATTCCCTTTAGTCTCACTAATCTCTTGACTGTCAATAATCACTTGACCCCATCCCCAAGTGATTGAATTCTGACACCTTTTCACTGCTGGATAGCTACCTCATGTCCTCACGCATCAGTCCTTACACAGCTTAAATACCGTGGTTACATTCCTTACATTCCCCTTCAACTCTTGTGTCCCTTTCTTCCTTCATCATATTTGCTTGGCAAAACCATAACTCTAGTTAAATCCAGCTTTCTGCCCGCTCTCTACTTGCCATGTTTAACAGAACATGGCTGGAGAAAAACATAATCATGCTGATTGGCCTCATTTTAAATTCATGGTCACTAACCTCAAAGAGTTTCTCATGCTTTCTAGAATCATACTACATTTCCCCTCACTTTGCTACTTGCCATAATGTCTGTTTTATACTTTCTCTTTTCTCAAACTTTCAACACTTTTCCCCACATTCTCGCCATTGGGTGATGATCTTGCTTTCCATTTCATTGAGAAAATGGAAGCAATAAGAAGAGAATTTTCACAGACTTCCAACACTGGGTCTGCCCAACTATTTGCATCTGTGTCCATATACTCTGCCTTCCTGCTGGTGGAACTGTCCATACTCTCCCCAGCCCCTACCTAAGACATGGCTCCAGCCATTCTCTTTTCTGCTTCCTCCCTTCCTCCCTACTGGATGTTTTCCACCCAGATTTCTCCCCTCTTAAATATCCTCTCTTGACCTCTCTCTTCCTCTGGATGCTGCCCCATTTTTTTCCTTCATTTTATAACTAAACTGCTTTAGGCATCTGTACCTGTCTCCAGTTCCTTTTTGTCCATTTTCTTGCATCCACTCAGTAAAGATTTTGCCCCGTCACTCTCTGGAAGCTATTTACATGTAGGTCACCAATGAGTTCCACCTTAAAACACTTTCTTGATTTGACTTAGAGAACAACCACGCTTTCCTGGGCTTTCTCCTACCTTGTTAGCTGCTCCTTCTCAATCTCTTTTGCTCCCCAACCTTTTAACATTGGAATACCCTAGGTGTTGTATCATTGGACCTCTTCTTTTTTGTATCTATGCTCACTCCCTTAGTGATATCATTCAGTCTCATAGTTTTTAGCACTGTATATATGTTGATAATTCCCACATATATATATATCCAGTCTTGATTTGTCCTTTTTGCTACAGAATAATTTCCAACTGCCTGTTTCAGCTGTTTCACAGCTCCACCTTAATGTCTAAACCCGTGTCAAACTTGACACGTCCAAAATAAACTTCCTGGTTTCCTCTTCCCCATCTCCCAACACCATTCCTGTTTAATGGCAACCCCATTCCTCAACTTTTCAAGCTGAAAGCCTTAGCGTGACCCTCGACTTCTCTTTTTTCCACACAGCAGCCAGAATGATTCTGTTGTAAGTCAAAGCATGTCCTCTCCTTTACAAAAACCTTCCAGTACCTTCTCTTAAAAGCCAAAGTTATCCTGATGACCTACATAGTCTCACTCCTTGTTAACTGACCTTTCTTTACCTGCTTTTCCCTTTACTCCATTTGAGCCACACCAGCCTTCTTGCTTACCCTTAAATGTACCAGGATGCTTTCACTTCAAGCCTTTGTACTTGCCTTTCCCTTCCCAGAATAGTATAACTTCATCCTCATTTCCCTGGGAGTTTACTTAAATGCCATCCCTTTTTAAAATTGCAACCCCCATCTCTGAGCACTCTGTGCTCCATTTTCTGCAAAACAGGTATGATCATCTAATGTATTATACAATGAATATGTTGCCTATTGCCAGTTGAGTTGGGCTTGACTTTTTGTTTTGTTAACTATTGTAGCCTCACCACTTAGAACAGTTCCTGGCATTTTTGGAGAATGAATGAGTGAGTGACTTTCAGAAAGCTGGTTAACAGTGATTATCCCAAACTAGTCTGAGACTGCTGGCGTTGAGGATCCTGGAGGACAGCGATAGAAATCCCTTTGATTTGCCCCATTTTCATAAATATTGGGCTCATTTTCTTATCAACTGGAAGTGATCCATCATTAAATTTGACTGTTTGGCTTTGGGTTAGAAATATCTGTTAGAATTTAGTACAGATATCCCCTTGTAATTCAAGTCTTTGCAGTTCTTCTGTTGAGATAGTAAAAATTTGGATATCAAAGGGTATTACATTATCTGAATTTATTTTGTTCCTGAATTTCAGATACTAGAAGTAAGAATTGGGCTACCCAGGGACTCATCTGAAAATTTATTTGATCTGTTCAATTTCTGGGTTTGGATATCAAGAATTTGGGTAGTGGGATCTCCCCATAATCATATTTTGAGATTTTAGTTCTCTTAAGATCAGTTTTCTGAAAAATCACTAACAATGATAACAACCTTTAGGTGGCAGCAAATCTATGAAAATCATCACGAACCTAGGATTTAGCATCTGTGTTTCATACTCTTCACCATTAGTGTGTTAAATTTAGGAAGACAGATATCCAGAGGCACAGTATGTCAGGAATTTAGTATTGCTCTACAATTCTATCAGCTAAGTGAGTAATGGGGCTCCTGCTGGGGAGAAAGGTGTGTGTGTACCCAGGGAGGAGGGGAAAAAATTAAAAGTGAATCTGGGAAGCAGGGACTGCAAGGGGGAAGCACTTACAAGTTAAGTACCTTAATTGCCTCTTCAGGAATTTCGTCAGAAATCACTGGACTGGGAGAAGCAACGCTTGATTTATCAGCAACAGGTGTCTTCTCTGGAGGCACAGAGGAAGGCTTTGGCTGAACAATCAGAGATAATTCAGGTTGGTTTAAGCCATTTTAAAATAATGAGAGGCGGAGAAGTCTTGATGGCATTGGCACTAGCTTAATGTAGTCCCCGTTTGCTCACTCATGTCCACAGTCGTGTCCACGCATGTCTTCGTGCCACGCGCTCTTTTGCTTGCTCGCTCCTCTCTCGTGCTCTCTCTTGCCCTCTCTGTCTTGCTCACTCCACCCTCACACTCATGTCACTCTCCTGATCTTGGTCTTCCCTTTTTCTGCCCTTCTGTCCCTCCCTTTCTCTCTCTTTCTACTTCGGTTTTTTCTCTGTCTCCCTTTCCATTTCTTTGGGTCTCTGGCTTACTAGTCTGGCTGTTTCTGGCTTTTGCCTTGGCTCCACTTCTGTGTCTTGCTCCATTTCTAGTAACTGGGGTACCTTGGCCGAGATGCCTCAGCCAGGGAGCTTCAGCCTGGCTGCCTGTTGGCCTACAGGTACCAAGAGATTCACATTGCATTGATAAGTGTACTGACTAAAAAGCAATATCTCTGTGGTAACAGAAACACTTTTTAGAACTCTAGTTAAAGAATGGGAGAAGATACTTGCAAATGGCACTACTGATAAAGAGCTGGTATCCAAGATTTATAAAGAACTTCTCAAACTCAACACCCAAAAAACAATCAGTTCAAAAAACGGGTAGAAGACATGAACAGACACTTCTCCGAAGAAGACATACAAGTGGCTAATAGACACATGAAAAAATGTTCATCATCATTAGCCATCGGGGAAATTCAAATCAAAACCACATTGAGATACTACCTTACTAGGATGAATACCCAACTTTTACATCAACATGGATGGGACTGGAGGAGATTATGCTTAAGTGAAATAAGTCAAGCAGAGAAAGTCAATTATCATATGATTTCACTTATTTGTGGAACATAAGGAATAGCATGGAAGACATTAGGAGAAGGAAGGGAAAGATGAAGGGGGGGCGGAAATCTGAGTGAGAGATGAACCATGAGAGACTATGGGCTCTGAGAAACAATCTGAGGGTTTTAGAGGGGTGGGTGGTGCGGTGATGGGTTAGCCCAGTGATGGGTATTAAGGAGGGCACGTACTGCATGGAGCACTGGGTGTTATATGGAAACAATGAATTGTGGATCACTACATCAAAAACTAATGATGTATTGTATGGTGACATAACATAATAAAATTTAAAAAAAATCTTTTTTTAAATGAAGAACTAGTGACTTAAGCAGAACCAAAAAATATCTAATTTAGGGATATTTCTTCTTAGAACATACTATGTTTGCTTTTTTTTTTTTTTTTAAGATTTTATTTTTATTTGAGAGAGAGAGAATGAGAGAGAGCACATGAGAGGGGGGAGGGTCAGAGGGAGAAGCAGACTCCCCGCTGAGCAGGGAGCCCGATGCGGGACTCGATCCAGGGACTCCAGGATCATGACCTGAGCCGAAGGCAGTCGCTTTAACCAACTGAGCCACCCAGGCGCCCCTATGTTTGCTTTTTCAATTAAAAACCAAGAACATAAAAGGAAATGAACATAGAGGGGAATAAATATTTGTGACCATCTGTTGTGTACTAGACACAGTCTCAGTGCTTCTTCTAGATGGCAGTTATCTAGAATATGTGGTTCTATGTTGTCTGTTTAATATGATAATCTGTCAAGGTTAGTAGTTATCTCAGTTTTATAGAATGAGGGAATTACTCGATAAGTTGAAAGAGCTGAAGGGAAGCTTTAAAAATTTAAAAAAAAAACACAATCTGCATTATTTGCTGCTTTAACTCTCAGTAATGTTTTGGCTTGTAATCATTCTCCTGAAATATCAGCTGGCCAGTAAAGTACCGTGAATGGCTCTGCTGTGAGTGACTCCACTCAGGATGGCAGAGGGGCCCACAGCGACCTCAAGGAAGAAAATTATTTACTAGGCTGCAGCAAGCTATGCAGTCAGAGTGGGCCAATAAAATCCTGGATGTCTAGACCACGGTTTTTTTGACCTGAATGCTAAAGCACTGTGCAAACATAAATAGCTATAAGATATTGTTATACTCTAATTGTAGCCTTCAGATTGGAAAAAAAAGAAAATCAAGTCCTACTTTTTAGTTCTCAATTACTCATCTGTGGAGTGTGCTTATTATTGATGCAAATCCTTTTTTCAAATTACTGTTGTGATTGCTTTGCATAATTAAACTTCATTGCTAGTAAAAGTGAGATTTTTGTTTACCATGATTGAAATAGGCCAGAATAAGAAGCCTTTAAAAAGCCAACATTTGTTTTCCCTGCTTAACTCAAAAAATACTACCGATACTATATTTCTCTTTCCCCCTTAGCAAACTAAACAAAATTAAATCTTTCTTTGATTCAGTATGTGGCAATGCTGTATGATCATCATTAAAAAAAAATAACTTTTAAATAAATTTCTGGATAGCTGTTACCCAGCAGTAATAGTTACCATCATTTTGCTACGCCTTTTTTTTTTTTTTTTTATTGTGGTAGAAAACACATTAAAATTTACCATCTTAACCATTTTAAAGAGTATATTAATGCTAACTCTGTGCATGTTGTTGCATAACAGAGCTCTAGAACTTGTTCTACTTGCAAAGCTAAGACTGTACCGAACAAACTCATTTTGCCAGTCTTGTTTCATCCTTCCCCACTTTTTACCTTTGGCTGGAATATTACAAAGCAAATCACAGAAATTGTCATGTTTCCCAACAGATAAGGACTTCAACAAATTATAACAGAATAAATAATTTATTAACATAATTTAATATTCAGTCTGTTCAGACTTCCCCAGTTGTCTGAAATTATGTCTTTGTACAGTTGGATGTTCAAATTGGAATCCAGTCAAGGTTGACATGTTACATTTTGGTGATCTGTGAGTCACCACTGAACAGTCAAGGGAGAAAATCTGGGAGATTAGATAAATGGAGATCAACATCCACACTTCCCCCAGTTTTTAAAAACTTGATATCAACTTTTTTCTTATATATTTTTTAACATCTGCAAGTGGACTTCACAATAACTTCTCAATCTTTGAGTCCTATGTTTGTCCAAGTTCTTTTCATCAGCTATTAAAGTTACAGAATACATGTTCATTTTAGAAAAATGAGAAAATGTCAATGAGACAAGAATTAAATAAAATCACCCATAATTCCATAGCTTAGAGATCTATCATGATTAACGTTTTGGTGTAAATTTCTTCCAACTTTTTCTATGCTTCTATGCAGTGTACATTGCAGTCATGTACATTTACTAGAAAAACACTGTTGTGTGTTGGGGGGGAATATGTTCGGTTTCTAGATTCCACATATAGGTGAAATCATACAGTATTTGTCTTTCTCTGTCTGACCTATTTCACTAGGTATAATGCCTTCTAGGTCCATCCATGTTGTCACAAGTGGCAAGATTTCATTCTTTTTTTATGACAGAGTAATATTCCATTATAATCGAATACAAACATACACTGGCACCCATACCCACATCTTCTTTATCCATTTATCTATTAATGGACACTTGGGTTGTTTCTATATTTTGGCTATTTAAAGCAGTGAGGCAGTGAACATAGGGGTGTGGGTATCTCTTTGAGTTGGTATTTTTGTTTTCTTCAGATAAATACCCAGAAATGGGATTACTGCATCATATGATAGTTCTATTTTTAATTTTTTGAGGAGCCTCCAGACTGTTTTCTATGGTGGCTGCACCAATTTACAATCCCATCAACATTGTATAAGATCTCCCTTATCTCCACATCCTCACCAATACTTTCGCTATTTTGTCTTTTTGATACTGGCCATTTTGACTGGTGTGAGGTGATATGTCATTGTGGTTCTGATTTGCATCTCCCTGATGATGAGTGATGCTGAGCATCTTTTCATGTGTCTGTTGGCCATCTGTATGTCTTTGGAAAAATGTCTGTTCATGTCTTCTACCCATTTTTAAATCAGGTTTAGTTTTTTTGATATTAATTTGTGTATGTTCTTTATATGTTTGGGATTTTAACCCCTTATCAGATGTATGACTTGCAGGAATCTTTTCCCATTCAGTAGATTGCCTTTTTGTTTTGTTTACAGTTTCTTTTATCATGCAAAACCTTTTCAGTTTGATGTAATTCCGTTTGTTTATTTTAACTTTTGTTGCCCTTGCCACAGGATACTGGTCCAAAAAAATACTGCTATGACTGATGTCAAAGAGCTTACTGCCTGTGTTTTCTTCTAGGAGTCTTGTGGTTTCAGTTCTTATGTTCAAGTAGTTAATCCATTTTGAATTTTGTATATAGTGTAAGGCAGTGACCTAATACTCTTTTGCATGTAGCTAGTTTTCCCATCATTTATTGAAGAGACTCTTTTTCCCCATTGTTTATTCTGTCTCTTTGTTATAGATTAATTGACGATATAAGTGTGGGCTTATTTCTGGTCTTTATTCTAGTCCATTAATATATGTCTGTTTTCATACCAGTACCACACTGTGTTAATTACTATAGCTTTGTGGTATAGTTTGAAATTAGGAGGCACAATACCTCCAGCTTTGTTCTTTCTCAGTATTGCTTTGGCAACTTGGGATCTTTTGTAGTTCCATTCAAACATTAGGATTCTTTGTTATAGTTCTATGGAAAATGCCACTGATATTTTGATGGGGATTGCACTGAATTTGTAGATTGCTTTGGGTAGTATAGGCATTTTAACTATTAATTCTTCTAATTAATCTTCCCATGATCCCCTCTAATGGGGTCATGACCTGAGCTGAAGGCAGATGCTTAACTGAGTGAGCTAACCAGTTCATAAGCATGGAATATGTTATTTATTTGTGTTGTTTTCAATTTCTTTCGTCAATGTCTTATGGTTTTCAGTGGACAAATCTTTCACCTCCTTGGTTAAATTTATTCCTAGGTGTTTTTTTCTTTTTGATGCAAATGTAATTGCAATCATTTTGTAATTGCAATTTTCTGATAGCTCATTATTAGTGTACAGAAATACACTAATATGTTAGTATGTTAATTTTGTATGCTGCTGCTTTACTGAATT